CACACACACACACACACACACACACACACGTACCACAATTAAGTATGATATGTTGAAAAAAGGAGATGTTTTTGTAGCCACTGTTTCAAATGCCAGATAAGGCACCAGGTGGCCTCGTTGAACTTCTGTCCCAGAACGTCCACTGCTGAGTGAACAATTGAATGCTTCATTGGGTTAATTCACAGGGCAACTCACAAACCATGAGATCCAATTCAGTAATATAACTAGTCGAAGAGGAAATGCACCAAATACTGAGCAAATGTGTAATTGTCTTTGATTCTGTTGGGACGGTTTTGGAAACAAGTAAGAAGGCAACAGCACATAAAGTTTTAACTTTTACAGATATTCTGGTTTTGGTATGGAAATGAATGGTTTCCTTGAATTTGAAGGTTGAAACGTGAAAATATAATGAATTATTCCATAGTCAAGTCTCTAGGTGATTTCAGAGGATTTGCTAGTTGAGTCAGAACTTTATTGAGACTTCTCACCTTGTAGAATTCTTGGTGAACATGGTAAGATAGTTAAATAGTACAGGTAACATTCAGATACAGCAATCCTGTCAATGTTTTCCCCAACCCCCATTCATTATTTAGTGTGATCTATCTTTCATTTCAAACAACATACAGTAGTTTTTGATTGAGAAATGTATTTGGCTCTGCTAGTAATTTGACTGCAAGGTCTTAGAATAATGATTTCTTCAAATGCCAAATCAATTCTTGGCTAATGGCAGAGAGCAGTAGAGGTTTGTGGTTCATTGATGTGAACAGTCAGATATGAGGGATGGTTCTATTCAAGGAACAATTCACTATCAATCCATTTATTTTTCCTCCAGTCATTGTGTACTTTTAGGGCTATGGCCACCAGTGATCTGAGACAAAGTGGGGTGTAATTAAAATTGTTTAAATCTGGTAACCTAATGTCTGGAATGTTGATTGCATTACTTCGTGCAGAGACTGTTACCACATTCAGGTTCATGCCTGGTACTAGCTGTGTAGGTCCCACACTATAGGGGATTCTTGTCAAAGTGCAATCAGTGGAATCAGCTTAATCCCCTGCAGAGTTGGACCGGCCCAGCTTGTACAATGTGTAAATCTGAATGCGCCCTATGGAAAGGAACTTGACCTGAATGGTTTCAACAATTGAAGAGATGTTAACATTTTTTAAGTTCACGCATGCGAAGTAGAGATTAATATTAATAAATGAGAATAGAACCATAATTGATGAATGTGGTTTCTTAAATCCTTTGACCATATAGACCTGGCAGTAGCAGGTTTTTTATTCTGTTCATGTCATGTTATGGTTGACTTGATACAAAACTACAATTACCACACCCAGTGTTGATTACTGTTGGGGGGGGGGGGGGATAAATCTTTCCTTGAATTTATATCTCAGCACTGCCTTTTGTTTATACAGTAATGTTTCAGCAAATAATTATGTAATATATTATATATGGCTTTTACATTTTGCGCATACTCTCTTTTCTTAGCTTATGAAATAAGTTTACTCATTTATTGAATTCTGATTGAGTATTTAACTCCTGTAAACTAGTTAAAAATTTCAATTAAAACTGAATCAAGTCAATTATGTAGTCATAGGTTGAATGAGGCTTGATTCTTATCTCTAGTGTTAATCAATATAAGAGAATTATCTCTTAATAGATTGGTGCCAAGTAATGGAAATTAACATCTCACATTTGCCACTGTGGCCATTTTTTCCACAGTCTTAACATATCTGTATCGTTGTCATTCCAGAACTCCTGAACAATGTCCAAGCGTGGTTTCCTTGCTGTCAGAGAGTTACAACCCGCATGTGCGATACGGTGCAGCCATGGCACTGGGGATAGCGTGTGCAGGGACAGGACTGAAGGTAGTTGGTGTTTACTGTTTGTAGTGTGTGAAAAGATACGATTTAAAACTTTTGTTCTGATTCTTGTTGACCTTTTTGTCGTCTTTTGTTACGTCATATGTGTTTTGTTTATGGAAGGAGTTGCTTTTATGTTACATTTTATCTAAGGGTTTCAGTTTGCGGTTGGTTTAACAGTATTACATTGCTTTATGGAATAACGTGTACTGAGAAGTTAATTATAAAAGATATTATAGATAAACAAGACAATCTGAATGGTTTTGTCACATCATGCATCATTATGTGCTTAGCTGATGTCTTTCTTTGTTTGAATCTTGCTGAATATGTAATTATAATCAGAACTTAAATTTTTAACCAAGGGATATAAGGTTCAGTATTTTCTAAGATAGATTATTAGAATATGGAATTTTTAAATTATTAGAATATGAAATATTAAAATAGATATGTGATATTATTTGGTTGATTGATCATACCTGGAGAATGTAATCAGTGACTACTTTGGTGCCTACTTCACAGAAAACATTCAAGTACAAGTGGGCAGATTATATTAGTCCAAGTAAACTACTTAGCGCCTGCTCTAACCCTAATACCCAAGTGCTATGCTATTTCCAAAGCAGAAATCAAAACCACTTAATGCACTATGTTCCTGGAGGATAGAGGGTACTAATACCATACTTGTGTTTGACATTTTACTACTAACTACTGGTCATCACAAACCTGAAGATGAGTGGAATTTGGTTTTTGTCTTGATATGGTTATTGTTTATATTATCCAACCAACCATTCATTCAAGTTAATTAATTATTTATTTTTTGAAAATTTTTCACAAACTCGTGCACTCTGACAAGAGCCTTGGGTCATCTTGATGTTTTTACTGGTATATCTGACAAAAAATTGTTGTGAGAAATGATTAAAATAAATTAAATCAATGATGACTGCAAACATTTACTCAGCACTTAATTGCTCAATAAAAAAATGACATATAGTGAAAAATTCCTACATGGTTTAAAAGATATCTTGCCTGAAATGTTTTATGTAGTACTAAATTGCAAATTCAGTACATTGTAAACCTCTTAAGCACTATTATATCTTATCAGCTCAGGCCCATAATAGCCAGGGGGGTGTTCCAGGGGTTCAAACAAAACACTTTTGGAAAAGGTGCACTCTGGATGAAGTTTTGATCTAGGTACAAGAAGCTTTCATGGAGAAAGGTCCACTTTTTCAGACCCCCCTCCCCTTTTTTGAGATTGGTGGCTGTGGATCTATCAGCTAAAAAAACAGGAAAATCTAACTTTCCAGTGAGTAGCCACAGCATCAGCTAAGGTAACCTTTGAAAAAATCTTCAACCATATAACTTAGCACTCAGTCTAAAAGAAAACACCGTTTAACTCTGGAAGATGGAGTGTATTTAAAAATGCATGAATACCCATTTGGCATCAGAATTACTCCCATCTCCTGAAACTGAATGCTTACTTTTAACCTGTCAATTAAGGTTTTTTTTTTAAGTGATGAAGCACCAACACTCTTCAGACAGTCCTCTGTAAGTTTTGGGGCACAAATTGTTTCGCTTTCACCTGAATTTCTCCCTCAGTGGAAAGGAAGCTACCAAGTGCATATATACCAATCATCCTTCAAACTTCTCCCTTTTACTGAAGTGCACAAATAAGTTAAAAGGGGTGAAAAAATGCCTCTTACCTTGTGATAAAAGTAAAGCACGTCTCCTATTAATACAAGTAAGAGAGAATAACCCTAACTGCACTGATTCGTCTCCCAAAACTCCCAGCAGTGGCAGTGTATAGAAGTGCTGGCAGCTACTTTGCCAAGGTGTGGCAGTCAAAAGCAAATGCCAGTAGTTTGCAGCCTGTTCACACCGGGTGTAAGATAAGATGTTATGAATTAGTCATGGATTGACGAGATTAGTTAAGCAAGAGTTGAACACCTCAAATGCCTGGTTGGATATGTAAGTGCCACTGTTCTTTTCATAGCAATCAAGGCCCTTTAGTATTGAATTCTTGGAGTTAGTATTCGAGTTTCTTGATTAATCTGTTGGCTTACAACCCAATTTGGCTCATATTGGTGCAGCCTTAGAACGAGTCTGAATTGTCCTTTAAAGAACTTCCACTTCAGAAAAGATCAATAGCGCAGACTTGGATAAAAAGTTTTTTTCCAACTAATAAACCTTTTCAGTCTCTACTTGGAATTTGATTATCAACCGTCTCTCTTGGGTCTTGTAGTATTTCTAAGTCTATATATCATGGAGTCAGTTTCTGACTTGGGTATGTTTATTTTAATTCAATTAAAAGAGGTAACTGGATATACATTATTCCCAATAGATGGTGGAATTTNAAGATCAATAGCGCAGACTTGGATAAAAAGTTTTTTTCCAACTAATAAACCTTTTCAGTCTCTACTTGGAATTTGATTATCAACCTTCTCTCTTGGGTCTTGTAGTATTTCTAAGTCTATATATCATGGAGTCAGTTTCTGACTTGGGTATGTTTATTTTAATTCAATTAAAAGAGGTAACTGGATATATATTATTCTCAATAAATGGTGGAATTTAGAACATTTTTATGCTGTTTTTAGTGATTGTTTTTTTACAAATATAGATATGGTTGGAAGCTTTTCTTGTTTTAGATATCAAAGCTGCTTTGTTGATTGGAAAAATTTTTTTAAAAAACAAACAAACAGATTTTGTTGAAACAGAATATTAGCCAGATTGGCCAGATCAAGTAACAACATCACAGTTATAACAAAGAAGAGTCCGGATTAAAATAGGCATTCTATATTCTAAGGACCAGGAATCATTTGACTCGGAATCAAACCAAGAATTCCCCAGAGCCCTAACCTTTTTCTCTCACATACCATTATTTAAATAGAAATATTACTGTAGAAAGCCATTCTACAATTACCAAAAGTGAAAAATACTAACCCTAACCTATTTGCAACACAAAATAATCTGCATTTTTAGGACTTTTAATCAAGTCATCCAGGAGAGCATTCTGAGAAAAAAGGGAAATGGAATGAAAAATATAATTTAGTGATTGTTAAAAGATTTCAGATAAATGAAAGTGGACAAATAAATGCATTGGAATGAATAAAAAAAGGGAAGATAAGTATATAGATACACATGCACTTGTAATAAATATACAGATACATATGTCAGATATAGAGAGATAGAGGAAAAACTGGAAAAAATTCAATGATAAAAATTTGAAGAGAACGTTAGATAAGAAGGGAGTTACATAATTGTTTTGCGGTAAAATATGTATAGATATCAATTGAAGCATTTGCCAAATTTCAGTATTTATAAGATAACTGGAACTAGCAAAATTAGCTATCTTATATACCATGAACTTCTTTGATGATGTGCAATTTAAACAGCCAATCTGTATGTGTTGGCAAGTGCTTTTTCTCAGCAGGAAACTTGAGATTGATCAAGAAAATAATTGAGTGGACAAAATGTCAGGATGTTCCTTACACTTGACCAGTTGGTGTGATTCCACTCACCATAAATGAATGACCCATAGAGTGCCACTTGACCATTTTACCCAAATGACCATGGCCAGGATTGCCAGCTCTTTAATTGCCACTTGACTATTTCAACTCTAAAGACCATATACCACAAAGAGAACCCCTGTATCACTCAACCATTGTATACCCTCATGACCATATATGGTAATAACTTGGTAATTTCAAGAATATTGTGAATTTTACAGCTACTGTATTTTTTAAGTTGTTATTTCTTAAAGTTAGGACATTCCTACTGAGTGGTAGTACAACTAAAGTAAAAAGCAGGCCACTCCATTGTCCCATTCCATGAAGTAAAAGCACGTACCACAAATATAATTTTATGATTATAGAATAATGTTTCTGAAAGTTTGATAATTATTGCCCTTTGAAAAGATCAAGTAGTCACCAATCCACAAAAGGAAATCCTATTAGGAACAGGCAGTGGGTTGAACAAGACAAGAATTTCACTTATTTATTTGTTTGTTTATTTGCCTTAGCTTTTTTTTTCTGTCTATGATCAAAACAAAAATAATTTTGGGGGAGCAAAATTCAAACATTTGCCAATGGTTTGCTATTGATTTTCTTTACATTTGCTTGTACTCATTCTGTCTTAGACCCCATTCCCAGAGATTAGATCAATCCAAACTAGATCGACCTAACTCCCTGGGGGTTCACGCTAAATAGCTGTCAGCCGAGCGGGCACGAAAGTTAATTACCCCCTTACAGCTTGTAGTAGGCGGGACGGACATTTAAGCCAGATTATCTGACAGTAATCTAGTGAGACTCCCCACGGGGATAGATCGATCTGAAATCTATGGGAATACGCCCTTATTGGACTAGACATTATCAGTGACTGTTTTTCAGAGATTGTTTTGTCGAGGCAGATGTTTGTTATTGGGTTAGTGAAGTCATTAACACTTGCTATCTATTTGAGTGTTAACAGAAACCACAAGGCAGGTGAATGACTGCAGCTTTGACTGTCTTAATGACTTTCTTCTCAGAAGTGTTGTTCCAACTACTGTGGAGGCAGAGTATCATTTGTATTTATTTGACAATTTATGGACTAATTTATAATAATAAGGCTATCTGAAATGTTGTTATTTGCATAGAGCTATTGTTTTTGTGGTGTCCGTAGCTGTTAAGTTTTGTTTTGACTGATGGAGCGATGCATTTAAAAGTTATAATGTATTATAGAACTTGTGAATATGTGCTGTAGGCTCATTGACATTGGGATATATTTGTTTGCTGATGGTTTTTGTATGTGATAATGAACAGATCTCAAGACCACAGCTTTTAATAAGATATGTTTGTCACCTTCCATTACACAAACAAGGAGGGGTTCTCAAAAGAAAAAAGAAAAGAAAAAAAGTCACCAATTCATTGAAGTTCTTACATTTTTTCTACTTGTTGAAAAACAAACAATCTAGTCAACAAGGAGGTTCTCTTATTTGTTTGAGAATGATTGTCATTTATGTAGTTTTAAATATTACA